GAATTACTTCTCTGTTCTTGTGTCTTCATCTCGAAAACAGGAAAAATAATAGTCCCTTCCTCTTAAGATTGTGAGTACAGATCAGCCTGTGTCGTCATGAGGTGTCGACAGGAGCAGGTATCAAAACAATCAAGACAAACAATTATATTGATGTGAAAGAGCGGGGTTGGAGTGGAGACCCAACAGATGATCGGGCAAACCCCACCAGAGGAATTAGAAGGAAGGGACAATTCAACCAGGGTGCAGGATAGCACCAACAAAACACACATCACTCTTCTAGTTTCTGAATGCTCACACCCCACCCCACTACCATGACCCACTTCTACCTTACGAATCCACTAGACCTGAGTACACACATTGGTACAGATAAGAGCTCCCAACACATGGAATTCAGGACAGCTAAAACCCTAAGGGACAGTAGTGGGATTATCGATATCATGAGGGTGGGGGATGGAGGTAGAGGAGAAAAAGGAGAACCCATCACAAGGATGGATATATAGTCCCCCCCACCCAAGGGGAATGAATAAAAGAAAGGTGGGTAAAACAGACACAAAATAACAATAAGAATATATAATTGATCAAGGATTCGTGAAGGTGGGAGGGAGGGGGGAAGGAACTGATACCAAGGGCTCAAGTAGAAAGAAATTGTTTTGGAAATGTTGATGGGAACATATGTACAAGTGTGCTTAATACTATTGAATTATGGATTGCTATAAGATTTGTAAGAGCCCCCCAATAAAATGATTACCTTTTTTAAAGGAGCGTACTATTCAAGGGAGAGTAGTAAATAAGTTAAACTATTGTTTAATTTAAGGAATAACTCAGGGATAGTTTTGGTTTAAAGCTTAAAGGTGATCTCGGGAGAAGAGTTTTAGGTGTTCATCCCACTTCAGCGACCCCAGAATGTGTAGGTTATATGAGAATATTAAATTTTCTTCTACTTTTCGCCCTTTTGGTTAGAATTCTTCTACAGGATATTTAGTTTGTAGCCTAATTTTAAAGTCATTTGATTTTTGTATTCCTGTTTGACAACAAAACTTACTGTATCTAAACTGAGTTGTTGTGAAAATTAAATGGAGCGATCTACATTAAAAAAAGGCTGTGTGCACCTTAAAGGAGACAACACATGTAAAGCTCTAATAACACCAAAACCCAACCAAACTCACTGTCATCAGGTGATTCTGACTCACAGCACCTAGGACAAAGTAGAACTGCCCTTGTGGGTTTATAAAGCTGTCAATCATCCTGGAAGCAGACAGACTCATCTTTCTTTCAAAGAGCAGCGGGTGGGTTTGAACTTGTGATTAGCAGCCCACCACATTAACAGGGTTCCTTAAAGCTCTAAAATTAGGCAATGGTCTCTCCTGATAACATGTTCAACACGTTAATGAGATCTTATACAATGCATTGTTTGATTGCTTGACTATTGGTTCCATAAGCTTTGATTGTGTTTCCAAGCAAAATGAAATCCTTGCCACTTCAATCTTTTCTCCATGCATCTCACTGTTATCCATTGGCTCAATGGTGGTATTTTTCATTTTTTCTTTACATTGAGTTGTAGTTCCTATTGAAGGCTATAATCTTTTTTTTAATTGGAGACTCTTACAACTCTTGCTACAATCCATACATTGATTGCATCAGGCATGGTTGTACATATGTTGCCTTCATTCATGTCTAGACATTTACTTTCTATTGAGCCCTTGGTATCAGCTCCTCGTTTTTTCCCTCCCCTCACCCCTGCACCCTCATACCCCTTGGTAGATTATAAATCATTATTTTCATATCTTCCCTCCCCCACCCCCGCCTCATACCCCCTTGGTAGATTATAAATTATTAAATTCATATCTTACACTGACTGCTTTCTCCCTTCGCCCATGTTTTCTGTTGTTCTTCCCCCTGGAGAGGGGTACATGGTTATGTGTTGATCATTGTGATCAGTTTTCTCCTTTCCTCTCCTCCACCCTTATCCCTACCCTTCTGGTATCCCTATTCCCACTCCTGTTCCTGGATTCCATGTGTCGTGAGCCCCCATCTCTTTTCTATACCTGTATACGTGCTGCAGTCTAGTCTGAATTGAGAAGCAGCACTGGGGTCATGATGGTGGGGGGTGAGGAAGCTTCAAGGAACCAGAGGAATAGGGTGTGCTTCATTGATGCTTTACTGCACCCTGGTTGGCTCATCCTTTCCCTGTGGCCCCTTTGTTGGGGGATCATTCCATTGTCTACAAATGGGCTTTGGGTCTCTGCTCTGCCCCCTCTCCCATTCTCAATAATATGTTTTTGTTTGTTATGTGTCTGCTGATGCCTATTATCCAGTCCAAGGACGCCTCGTAATCTCACTGGCGGAGTGCTTCTTCCATGTGGGCTTGTTGCTTCTTGACTAACCGGCCACTTGTTTAAATTCAAGACCCAGATGCTATTCTTTTAATAGCTGGACACCATCCACCTTCTTCACCACATTTGCTTATGTACCAGTTTTGTCTTCGGCAATTGTGTCAGGAGGGTGAGCATTTCAGAATGCCAATCTGTTAGAATAAAGTGTCTTGTATTAAGGGAGGGTATGAGCAGAGACCTGCAGTCCGTCCACTACCACAGTGTATTATTGCCGTATAAATATATGTACATAGGCCAATACATCTATTTTTGTGGATCAATGTTTTTACATATGTACACATCTGTGCTTATATCTCTATCCCTTACTTTGCTTCCTAGGTGCTTCCTCTGTTTCCTTTTACCTTCCTCCTGTCCCACCATCACTTCACCCCTATTTCTGCCTCTTAGAACTTCCTCTTAGCTGGTTTGCTATTGCTCTGACACCCCCAGGGTCTCTATTTCCTGCTTGTTGTTGATTCTAATTCCCTAGTTGTTCCCCTGTCTATGGCACTGCTTGCTCCCCACACCCTTCCCCCTGTCACTCTTCCTCCCCAAATCTCCCGGGGACCATTGGTCCTGCTGCATTATCCTAGGGCTTGTTTCCCATGCCTCTCTTACATAAGTAGGCAAACCAATTATGACATAGACCAAACAAAAGATTTAAAGAAGAAAGGGAGAAAAAAGAGAAAGAAAGAAAAGATTGGAGGGGGGCGAGGAGAAAAAATATACATACTTCCAGGTCTGTTTGCTGACCTTCATGGCTATCTCGCCACTGGTTTGGGGGATCTCCTCCTCCCAGCCTGAAGTCCATTTGGGGGCTCTTCAGGGGCTTTGTAGCTTTGCTTTGCTTTAGTTGCTGATATGTTATGTTCCCTTCTTGGTTGGCCCTGATGTGGGGTGTTCAGACCACACTATCTCCCCGCCATGTTCCCTAGATTTGTCCTCTGTTGGAGTCTGCTCCAGTAAGGGGATAGCATGAGATGAAGTGTTGTCGGTCTCACAGTCCCCTCTGTGTCCCAGGCGCTCCCTGCAGGGATGTGGTCCTCTGGGCCTGCTGTGCGAAGGCTGTAATCTTAAGTGACTCAAGTCCTCTTCGTTTTCAGCAAGCAAGGTTGTACCACCTGCATTCTTGCTAATGATCATTCCTCTGATCCTAATGCTGAGTTCTTCACATAGTCCAGCTTCTCAGAAGATTCTCATTTTCCAGGTGGTGTGATTGAGAATCAGAGAGGTGATGGGTCTTGCCCAAAAATTAATATCAGAGGCAAAATGAGAACCAGGGTTCTAATTGCCAGTCTATTTTTCCTTCCTCTCGCTCCTGGTAGGCATATTTTAAGGAAATAAAACCTGTTTCAAATGAGTCAATTTCAACTCATAGTGACCCTATAGGACGTAGTGTCCAAGGCTGAGACTCCTATGGAAGTAGATTACGATATCTCTGTCTCTCAGAGCAGCTCAGCACACACACTGAGTAAGTGTGAAAGGATACAACTCTGATGCACACATTATGTTGGTCTAGGAATTTTATGGTTTTAGGCTTAACACTTAGGCTTTTGATCCATTTTAAGTTTGTTTTTCTGTATGATGTGAAGCATGGGCCTTGTTTCATTGTTCTGCAAGTGCATATCCCACTTTGCCAGAGCTATTTATTAAAGAGACTGCTTCTGTCCCACAGAATAGACTGATGCCAAGTCAAAAATCTGTTGTCCATCGATGCCTGGCTTTCGTTCTGAGTTCTTAGCTCTGTTCCACTGGTCTGTGTGTCTGCTGTTAAACCCATACCAGGGTGTTTTGATTACAGGGTGACTGCATAGGATGATTTGATATCTGAGAGGGTGAGACCCCCTGCTATGTTCTTTTCCTTCATTCTTGCTTGGGTTCTTCGGGGCAGCCCTTTTGTTTTTTAAAGGAGCTGTGATGGTTACAGTGGTTAAGTGGTTGGTTACTACTGAAAAGTTAGTGGTTCAAACCCACTGGGCACTCTGTTAGAGAGAGAGATGTAGCAATCTGCTTCCCTAAAGATTTCAACCTTGAAAAGCTGGTGGGGCAGTTTCACTCAGTCCTACAGGATCACTATGAGTTGAAATTGACTCAACTCAATGGTTTTATTTTCTTTAAAATGCCTACTCTGAGCCGGGAGAAGGAAGCATAGATTGGGAATCAGAATCCTGGTTCTCAGTTTTGCCTCTGATGTTAATTTTGTGCTTTCACTTCCGGCAAGACCCATGCACCTCTGATTCTCAATTGCACCAACTGGAAAATGAGGTGATTGTGTGAGATCGGTAGTTTTTTAGTTTTGTTGTTCTTACTTTGAAAAATATTTTATACAGCAGTTCATATAGAAGGGGAGCTACTTGGGCCTAATGTTGGGGGTGCAGCACCACCACTCCACCCCGCTCACGGATGAAGTTCTGCCTGGCATATGGAGATGCTCCGTAAATATCTGCTGACAAACTGTGTGAGGCCTCTAGAGCTATTCTCAGCAACCTCCCTGTGACAGGATAAGCTCTGGTTAAAGAACAGCTCTGGTTAGAGCCTCATTTTCAGGATAAGTTTCAGTGAAAAGAGCCAAAGGTGCATTCCAGACCAGGGCAGACAGGAACTAATTTCCCCCATTTTCTTCCAAAGGTCATGAGACAAAAGCCATGATGAACAACAGCGGCCCACGGTACAAACGCAGCAAGATCGAGCGGCGCATGAACGCAGACATCTTCTTCTGCATCGGGCTGCTCTTCCTGATGTGCCTCGTTGGGGCGATAGGTATGGGATGGTCAGAAAGAATACCAGCACAGCAGCCTTGTGTTTCTAAGCGGAAGTAGCTTCAGCTCTCCGACTCTGTTTCCTTATCTGTAAAACAGGGGTAATAAATAAACCCATCCGGGTTTGTGAGATGCCAAGGAGATAAAATGCAAGTGACAGTCTCCTAACTAATTATGTGCTATTTAAATATCAGGAATTCTCGTGCTGACATTTGTTTGTTCAAGAAATACTGAGCTCGTGCACTCTGCTACCATAGGAGGATAGCAAGATGAATCATCACAGGGCTGGCCCTTCACGAACTCAAAAGCTAGACGTAGACAGAGTGCAGCTCACGATCAGAATCAGTAAGACGATCTGCCGCCCCCAAGGAAAGCTACACACAGGGGCTGCGTTCATTTCCCATGACTGCTGTCACAAATGAGCACCAACAGTGCTTTAAGACAACACAAAGCTATTCTCTTACAGTTCAAGAAGTTACAAGTCCATAATCCGTTTCATTGGGAGTCTTCCTTATCCAGGGCTACCAAAATGGAAATGCCACTAATGGGTGGCTTTATAACACAGAATTTTAGTTTCTCAAAGTTTTGAAAGCTACCAGGAAACCTGGTAGCATAGTAGGTTACACATCGGGCTGCTAACCCCGAGGTCAGCAGTTTGAAACTTCCAGCCGCTCAGTGGCAAAAAGCTGAGGCTTTCTATTCTCATAAGGATTTGAAGTCTCAGAACATGCTTCTACTCTGTCCTGTAGGGTTGCTTTGAGCTGGAATTTACCTGATAGCAGTGATTTTGTTGTTGTTGTTTTGGTTTGGTTGCTTGCTTGTTTGTTTTTTTTCCTTTTGTTTTCTGAAGACTAAATGTCCAAGTCAGAGTCTTGGTCCTGTCAGTTTTCCCTGTGAGCCTCTCTCCTTGTTCTGGTGTCTGCCAGAGATCCTTGACATCACTCTGCTTGTAGAAGGTCTTCAAATATCATCTGTCTACTTCTATGTGTATCTCTGTCTGTTCTGTTCCCTTTATAACCCACAAGAGGCTAGGTCTAGGGCTTATCCTGTACTGCCATGACTGCATCAGCCTAATAAAAGAAAGCTCTTGTGTCCAAAGAGGATGATATTTATAGGTACACAAGCTAGGACTTTAAAACATAGTTGGGAAAGATGCCATTTAATCCATAACACTGGCTAATAGCAAAGTTGTCAGCAAGACGGGTTCCTTCTAAAGGTTCTGAGGAGAAGGCTCAGTTTCTCTACCTTTTCTAGTTTTAGCCGCTGCCTGTGTAGGAGCCCTGGTGGCATGGTGGTTACAAGATGGGCTGCTGATCTCGAGGTCAGTGGTTTGAAATTACCAGCTTCTCAGTGTAATAACAACTAGGCTTTCTACTCCCATAAAGAGTTACAGCATTGGAAGCCCAGAGGGGCACTTCTACCCTGTCCTATAGCGTCATTATGAGACAGCTTGATGGCGATGAGTGATTGCCTGTATTCCTTAGTTTGTGACCCCTTCCACTTTCTTCAAAGCATGTCACTTTAATCTCTGATTACATCATCACCCTCTTATCTTCTGTAATAATTTTCTATCTGCCTCTCACTTAACTTATAGGGACCCTGGTGGTTACATTGGACCCACCTACATATTCCAGGAAAATCTCTCTCAAGACCCTTTATCACTCTAGTCTCTTTCATCTTATAAGGTAGCACATTCGAAGGGCACAGGGATCAGGACATGGAATCTCCGAAGGCTATTATTGAACCCATCAGAAGCATGTGTGGAAGCTCCTGAGAAGGAAGGAGGGAAATCGTCTGGGCAGAGATGGGTGTTAGAACTGACTCCCAAATTCAGTTGGGAGTTTGCTGGAGGAGGTTGATTGCGGGGCAAGGGTAGGGGCAAGGCTAGAGAGGTGGCTATGAAATCTCAGAAACCCTACACAGGGCCACTATGAAATGGCATCAGTGCTCAATGACAGCGGGTTTGGGGTTTTGTTGCTGGGTTCTCATAGCATAGGAACATAGCGAGGCCCTCGCCCCTCGATTACTTCACACTCAGCATGGTTCTCAGGGAACCTACAGAGCCCAAAAAGGAGCCGGGGAAGCTGCAAAGAAAGAACTCAGGTGCTGCACCCATGGCCCTCTGCTGCCCCAAACCAGTGAGCGGGCAAGGGTGTTTTCCTCTTTGTTTGCATTAGACAGGAATCTTGCCCATCACTATGTTTAGAAAGATAGTGTCTAAAACCCTAAGACCTGCCTGAGACTCAAAGGGATTTTGTGTTCCACCACGCACAGTCAAGACGCTCCGATTAAGTCTTGTGAGCTGCCTGGAGTTTTTAATTAATATGCTTCCCAGATGGGTCTATTAGCATACTGCTGGGGACGGTTCATCGCTGCAAGAGCACCTGGAGGGGCAGAAGCAGGTCCAGAAGTAAACAGGCCCATGTGGCTGCCTCTGTGCCCCTCGAGACGCTGCAGGATTGTTGCCTCTGCTTCACCAGGTGCTTTTCAGGGGAGGTCAGAGCTGGAAAGGACTTTTGAGAACATCTCATTCTGTTTCTGGAGAAAGGAAGCTATTGACAAAGAAGTCATACCATAAGCTTACGGTAAGCTTCAGAAAAACTAGAATCAGATAAGCTTCCGAAAAACTAGAATTGAAAGATCTCCCCAAAATAATAAATAAATTAAGAAAGTGATGGGGGACAGAACTCTAGTCTGACAACAGTGTGAACTGGTGCCTCATTAAAGCGTAGCACCTAATGGAGGTCAAAGTTCTTCACGGTCATTCTTGGGCTATTGGTCACATGTCTGCGTTGATTTTGTAAATGTGGTGTTTCTTCTTAGTCTGAAGCTTCTAACCACCCAACGCTGGGCCAGGCTGCAAGCCTTCTGAAGACCACCTCTTACATGCAAGCCTGTCTCACTTACCCCAGGGTCTTGTCTAGCAGCGGTCCTCACTTGTGCCATGTGTTCTGTCCTTAATCATTCACTCAGTAATATTACCGTCCTATTGCACCATGTGTGTAAGTCTCCTTTCCCCTAATGTGTATAGCAGCATTGGCCCAAGCCTGCGGGTGAGAAAGGATTCATGCAGGACAGCATTTTCTAAGTCTTTTATTCCTCTAGTTCATATCCTAGAGCTGGGAAAGGCAACTGGTGTTTATTGAGCATGTACAACATGCCAACCATCGTGCTAAGCTTATACACACTAGGTTATTCTAGTCTCACAATAATTCTATAGGAGAAATAGGACTACTAGCTAACAATGGGGAACACTGAAATAATGGATGCTTGTTGCACCCATTTGGCAAACAGAGTATTCGGTCTGAATCTTGAAAAATTGTCAAGGGTTCTCCTAGCATTTAGGCTCTGGCATAACCCCTCTCATACAGTGTGGGATTTCTCCATCCATTTGTCTGTCTCCCTGAGTAAGGACCTCCTTAAGGACAAGACTTAGGACTGACTCCTTCTTGAATATACTAAATGCTGGCTAAAAGGATGAATGGATTGATGGGTGAATGGATGAATAAATGGGTGGAGGGATAAATGAAGTGTGGACGGATGATAGATGTGTGGATGGATGAGGGAATTTTTAATCAGGGGGGAAATCTGTCAAGACTTTCCTGTCATGCAATTTCTACCACACCGGAAAATAACACATGTTCCTTTCTCTTTTTCCAATCCCTACATAACAGGATTTCATTATAATATAAGTAATTCCCATGCTAGCTTCCTCTGATCGAGCAGACTGATGTGATAGAGCAGAGATTGAAGTGTAGGGTATATTAAGGGCAACCTTAGAGATATATGAATATGCATAAAAGGAGCCGTGTGTAGAATATGGATGGATTCCTCCACAGCAGACCCATTTCTGGGGCTGGGTCAAAGGCTGGTGCATTTGATCAGCTTTCGGATTAATTGGAGATTCTGCCCTGGCTTTTCCTCCTCTCAGGTCACAGCCTCTGGAACGAGACCTTTAAAGAACATCCTCCTTTCGATGTACCAGATGCCAATGGCAACTTCCTTCCACTCGCCCTTGGGGGCTTCTACATGTTCCTCACAATGATCATCCTACTACAGGTAGGAAACCTTCCCTAATGTGAGACCCAAGAAGACCTGTGATCTACAGTTCTACAACTTCTCAAAATAAGGCAAAACAAACATTGACTTCGCAAGAGAACTAGCTGGACTGAGATGGGGAAATGTGGAATGCTTTCCTGTAGGCCTTTGAAAATATTCATATTGGGGCGATGTCAGGAATAGCCGTGCCTTGAGGGAAATGTGTAGCAGGTCTTTGTACTTAAGAATAAAGTTACAACAGTGACTCGTGTGCCTGTCCCATTGCCAGGAATAGAACAGGTAAACCAGTACTGGCCAGGGAATAAAAGACAAGTGAGTAGAACAGAGAGAACTCTCAAGTCTCAAATATGGAGAGAAATATATCACAGTGGAGTGTTTGGGCGTTTGATAGACTGAGGAGGAAAAGAACATAACTGACCCAATTTGAGACTATGAAAACACATAGTCTGCCTAGAGGTGAGGCAGCAAGTGATAAATAGATGGAAGAAGTTATCATTTATAGAGAGATGACTTTGGTTTGTTTGTTTGTTTCATGAAGAGCCATATATGTTAAAGTACTTATAGCATTTTAGAGTATTTTGTTATTCTTTTATTGATTAACCATTTTCAAACATCAATAACATTCATTAATTAGTTGGTTATTCAGTCCACTAAGGAATCTGAGTCAGATCCTATCCCTCGTCTGCATCAAAAAGAAAGTCCAAACCCATTGCCACTATCTCTTCACTCTTCTTCACAACACTTATTTCCCCCTGATATATACTCATGTTTGTTTGTTTACTGCCTCTATCTCCCCACTGGAATATGAGGTCCAGGGGTCTTATTCCATTTGCTACTATTTCTACGATTTAGAACAATGTTGGAGAAGCCCTGCTGGCACAGTGTTTAGTTAAAAGGCTCAACTGCTAACCAAAAGTTCCAAACCCAATCACCACTCTGTGGGGTAAAACTGTGGCGCTGTGCTTCTATAAAGATTTGCCATCTTGGAAACTTGAGGGCAGTTCTACTCTGTCTTTTGAAAATCGCTATGAGTCAGAATGGACCTGATGCAATTGATGTGCTTTGGTTTGGACGAGAGTGTGTGCATATAGCCAGCACTCAGTAAATATGATGTGGTGAGTCAGTGATCAACAACAGGTCTAAGTGTCTGTAAAAGTGGATGGCAGAGAGAGAGATCCGAAGAGTCGGGGTGGCTGGGCAGAGATGCTAAAGCTGTCTCACTCTCCACTGGCTCAGGCACTAAGCAGACCAATATAAGGGCCTATGTCCTACCAGACACTGTCTTACTCCCTGGTTGAAGAAGTCATATCTGCTTTTCAGATTTCTTTAAGGATTCCAATAAGTTTCCAAGGGAGGTATAAAGTCACTGACCTTTAACTGCTCAGCGACAGTCTGCTATATGTTCCATTCAATGCCTGTCCTAACCACTGCGAGGCTCCTGAAACAAAGAGCCCAGTCTGGTTTCTGACATGGTGGGGATTGATCTCCTCTCAGGTGCTGATCCCCATCTCTCTGTACGTGTCCATTGAGCTGGTGAAGCTGGGACAAGTCTTCTTCCTGCACAATGACCTTGACCTGTACGATGAAGAGACCGATGTACCCATTCAGTGTAGAGCCCTGAACATCACTGAGGACCTGGGCCAGATCCAGTACATCTTCTCTGACAAGACGGGGACCCTGACTGAGAACAAGATGGTGTTCCGGAGATGCACCATCCTGGGCAGCGAGTTTTCTCACCAAGAAAATGGTAGGCAGGCTCCCAAGGGCCTCCATCCCTCTTTCTAAAAGGAAACACCCTGCTTTACTCAGAGAGCAAAGGGTTAAAGATCCTTCCTTGACTTCGACAGATGCTTGTGGCATTTGGGCAAATCGCTGACTGTCTCGGCATGCCTTTTTGTCAGCATGAAGGTCTGTTCTTATTACAGCTAAACTTTGAGGATTCTACCAGCGCCAGGTCATCTCCTATAAGGTACCCTTCCAGTGGGTCTGTTTCTGGTGTGACTTGCAAACAGGATGGTTTTCATCCATCCGGATTGCATTGAGGATATGGCCCAATCGTATTTCAGGCACACTGCCAAGGCTTAAGAATTTCTCATGTTGGCTTACCTGAGATATCAGGACAAAGTTTAGGTTAATGGTTAGATTTGACACACCCAGGAAATGTCTTTCATGCTAATGGAGCCCTTGGGTTTTCATGAGGCAAATCTGCAACTTGGCAGATACGGCTATAAAATGGCTAAATGCCTTCGACTATCATCTTGTCTAGATGGAATTGCCCTGGTTCCCTCCGTCATCCCTCAGAAGCACCCACACACTTTCTAACGAACAGGAGAAACTGCAGGGAGTAGCATCCACGGTTTCGAGGGGAAAGATGGAGAATGAGAAAGAAGGGGATATCAGAGGCATCCCTGCCACTCTGCTGTGGTCGTTGTTAACCATTCACTTGGCAACTTCTTTTTTTAAATAATTACAGTATTAATGATAATATCATTACAAGTACTTAGTGTGCTAACACCTTAACACACAATATCATTAAATTTCCACAACCATGTTTTCTTTGCTTAAGTATTTTTTAAAAGCCCTAACAGAAAAGCGATAAACACAAGTTAGCCAAAGATCAAAGTCATATAACTGGTAGGTAGTAGAGCCAAGGTTTGAACCTTTAGGAGTTAATTCTACCCACTTGCTCGGGTCACAGTATCCCGGGTGTCAGTTTTTCCGAGCAGTACATGTCCTCCACAGCTACATAATCCAACTCACAAAGCCCGGGACCTCTCCTTTGTGACCCAGCCACGGTCTGGCTAGAGCAATAACAAGATTCCTTTTTCACAGCCAAACGACTGGAGACCCCAAAGGAACTGGACTCAGACAGTGAAGAGTGGGCCCAATACCAGTACCTCTCCTTCCCAGCCAAATGGGCCCAGGGTCCAGCCACAGTGAGAAGCCAAAGAAGTGCCCAGCCTCTGAGAAGGTGCCAAAGTGCCCGCGTGCCCATGCAGGGCCACTCCCAACAAAGGTCCCTGGGGTGCGGTGAGAGCTCACAGCCGCCGGTGGCCTTCAGCAGCTCCATAGTAAGCCCTTGCTTTTCTCTTGGGAATTGTGAGTGCTCAATTGTGTAGAGAGCTGAAAGGAGGCTCGGGGGGAGGAGGAGAAGTGTCTATACAATCCTCTAAAGGCTTAGGCCCCTAAGTGTCCGGTTGAGCATGTACAATTCTTTCTCATTTAAAGTGTGACTGTTGCTTATAAATCAGGAGATTTCGTATAAAAATATAAATTACTTGGCTTTTCTATTTGTGTTACTCTGGATAGACTAGAGGAAAAAAAATCCATAGAAACGTATGTGTATAAGAGAGAGTTTTATATAAAGGGTAATTATATATTAAGAAAGTATCCCAACCCAGTCCAGTCTGGGCCCATAAGTCCAATATTAGCACATATGTCTGATAACGATCTATAAAGTCCTCTTCAGACTCACGAAACACATGCAGTGATGCTGAATGCAGGACGCTCACAGGGCAGTGGGTACAAAGTCTTCGGATCCTGTGGCACTGTAAGCATCTCGGTGCTGGCAGGGGTCTCCACGTGGCTCCTCCAGCTAAGGGCACTAGCATAGTTCCATGTGTCTTGTCAGTTGAGTGTCTGTCAGGGAGTGAGCTGAGCAAGTGTGTGTCTCCTGCCTCCCAAAAAGAAACACAGAGTTCCCAGAATCCTCAGGAGAAGGCCACGCCCACACAGAGGCCTCCTTGGCTACTGCTGAGTTGACAGGCTAGATTTCACCCTATACTCTTAATCCTCAAATTGACTCCAGATTATGTAATTTCCACACTCTTTAATGCAATTAGGAACCGGGTTTCCCGACTGTGAGAAAGAAGAAATGCTGTGACTCCCTGTGTTCTGACTTATTCTAACTTTGGGTGAGGACAAAGTTGAGTTGATGTCATACACACACATTAATGTCCCAACATTCCCAGGTTAGGCTGGGTTGTCTAGAAAAACCAACCAGTGACACTCCTCTGTGTACAGGAAGGAACTTTATATCAAGAATTTTATATTTTGATAACTTTGCATCAGAAGTCACCCAGACCAGGTCACCTCAAGCCCATCCATGATGCTAGACTGGCTCTCCTCAGACTCAGAGCTGCAGACTCCAAAAGGTGAAGCAGGAAGCCGGGAGAGCACCAGCTGGTTGGTCCAGAGTCTTGTGGATCCAGAGTCAGCAGAAGCATGACCGAGCGCAGACAGCTCTCAGGGTCGGTGGCCCATCTGGGGCTGCCCCTGGAGGCAGACACAGAGTCCCAGTGAACCCCCAGTGAGATGCCTAGCCTAGTTGATGTAAAATCATCCCACTACCACCATTAGCAAAGATAAAATACAGTCAGTGTGTTAGAACATATGCTTCCCATGAAGCCAGGAGAGAAAATATTTGCTTGCTTATTTGTTTTATTTGCCCATATAAGACAACAATAGGACATGCATGTTTTCAGATCTTTCTCTAATTCATCCCATCTGAATTTGTTGCTTTTCCTCCAACCCCTAACCTAAATATTTGTAACCTAAGTTTAGTGAATTCTTGTTCGGCATAAATTCTGAGTTTTGCAGTCCCTGTGTGTTTTGGTTACTTTTCGTTCTAGATCCCATGGGCATCCAATGCACCTAAGAACATTCCCTCCAGGCCAGAAAACCAAAAATAATCAAGGCTGTTGACGTGAAGCCTATTCTGACTCATTGCCACCCCAGGTGTTATAGAGGAGAAATCTCCAGAGGGCTTTCGTTGTTGTTGTTGTTGTTGTTTATTTTTTTATCTTTATCATTGAGAACTGGGCCATTAGCCAAAAGTGTACTTCAAGTCCACCTAGATGCTTCTTAGAAGATTGGCCCCGTGATCTGTTTATCAAAGGGCACAGCTTTGAAAGCCTGATAGAACCACTCTACCCTGCACACTTGGTGGTGCCCTGAGTCAGAATAGACTGTGAGACAGCTAACAACAACAAAATGTTCATGGAAGCAGATCACCCAGGACAACTCCTTCTGTGGATCTAAGCTGGTGGACAGAGACACGCTGTTCCTTGTTTAGCTAGACAAACCTTATTCATTGGGTCGATTCTCTCACAACTGCCCTATGGAACAGAGGCAAACTGCCCCCGGGGGGTTCCCAGACTGCAATGCTTGATGGGAGTGGAAAGCCTCCTCTTCCTCCCATGGAGCAGCGGGTGGTTGCAAACAGCTGACCCTAAGGTTAGTAGCCCAACACATAACCCACTGTGCCACCAGGGCTCCTGACAAACCTTAGTAGCCCAGCAAAACTGCAGCTCTGAGCCAGCCAGTATAATTTTCATGGGACCCTTGGCTGTTGGTCATTGACCCCGAGCTGCCTCCAAACCCTTCTTCCTGGTCAGCAGTTGCAAAAGTCATTCTCCCTAAATTCATTCAGGAGCAATAAGGAAATTGGCACACAGATAAAGCCCAACTGCTGTTTCCTGAGTGAGGTTGGTGACGTTCACAGAACTTCCTATGGAAAATAGCCCCTGTGGCAATTTGTTTAAATTACTGAGTGGTCTCTCCGAGCTGTTGAGGGAAAGTGTGGAGCCTCTAGAAGCAGCTCCTTGCTGACACGGTCCCCCTCACCAAGTGGCACCCAGGGCACTGCCCTACCTGCCACTGTAAACATCTCTCTGGTGATGAGCTTTTATGAGCTGCTGAGTACACTGCTTTGCAGTTGGATTGCTGGGAAATCTGGGGTTGTTAGGACAACGGTATCCCCGGGTAGTTGTAGGGAGGGCATTGAACTAAGAGTCGGGAAATGGGACTTCTGGTTTTAGCTCTGCTTCTGCCTTGCTGAGCAACGTTAAGCGAAATGTAAAGCCTCTTTCTATCCCTTCCGTCACCTGTGCGTATTGTCCTTACGACTCTCACCGGTTTGTTCTGAAAAATCAAAGAACCTAATGATGATACTGACTTGCAGGAGCCCTTCCAGCTATGAGTTCAGAACATTTGAGGTCAAATGCCCTAAGTTTTCATCTCAGCTACACCATTGATCAGTTTATTCGCTCTGTGGCTTTGGTCAACTTACCGAACTGGAAGCCTCAATTTTCCTGTCTTTAAAGTGAGGATTATTGTTCTGCCTCGAGAGTTTATTTGAAGGAATTAATCTTAAAATCAAAAGGATAACTAATAAAAGTGTTCTTTCTAAAGGAAAGTTGTCTGCCTTGGACAAATGTTCACATATCTGATATGTGAAGAGGAAATGAGGGATTTGATTCTTCCTCTAAGCCAGTGGTTCTCTACCCTGGTTACGCATTAAATCATCCAGGGAGGGTTTCGTAATGTACGGTGCCTGAGCCCTGTTCCCCTGGATTCTCATGTATTTGGTCTAAAGTAGTGAGTGGTTCCGTTTGTTATTTCTGATGATTCTAGAAAGCAACGGGATTTGAGTGTCTCTCTAGAGAGATAGGGAATTGGCCCTCGATGGGTGCAATTAAGACGCCCTAGTGGCACGGTGGCTAAAGTGCTAGGCTGCTAACCAGAAACTCAGCCCTTAACCCTACCCAAGGAGAAAAATGTGGAAATCTGCTTCTGTAAAGAAACACTATGGGGCAGTTCTACTCCGTCCCATAAGGTGACAACACGTTGGAATCGACTTGATGGTGTTGGGTTTGGGATCAAATAGGTGCATGCCACAGCTGGGGAGGCGTTTCCAGAAGGGCACAATGTGTGCTGCTTTAAAAAGCTCAACGAGTTGCTATCAATAGTAAAATTGGACTCCATGGGATTTTTGATAACTGGTATTTAGGAAGTCTTTCATGGTGCTTCTGGGTGGACGTGAACCTCCAACCTTTCAGTTAGTGGTAAAGCCTCTGTGGATAGAGCAGCAGAGTTTTTAATAGATTCCTAGAGAGCTTTTGTGGCAGTGCCATGCTGGTCTTTTGGTGGCCCACCCCTCGTCCCACCCCCGCTGCCCCATTCCTGAAAGGCTCTTGGAACCATCTCTGAGCTGCTTCACCTTCCACCTGCCTACACCTCTTCCTCCACCTGTCCACCTAGCACCCGTCATAGCTGTCATAGTTGCATGTCTCTTGGCCCCCACCGGTTCTGTCTTCCTTCAGTTAGAATTTTCTTCTTGAAACCCCAGATGCCAAGTTAGGGCAGAGACTTGCACTACGTTCAAAAGAAGCCACTTACTGGTCTCCTTGGTCCTCGGCTCTAAAACAAAAACAAAACACAACTTGACGACAGGGAAAAAAGCCAGACACAAAGCTGGGTGGGTTGGGTTTGGTTTTTACTACAAAGAACAAGGAAGCATGAGTAACTGGCTCCTTGCTGCTGTGATACGTGTGTCTTTAGGCCAGGGGCAGGGTTGGATTACCCAGTAAGCATAGTTAACCAGCGCCTATTGTTCTTAAGTACTAAGCAGGGGTGAAACAGATGGAGGCAGAGCCATACAAAACTGTTCACTACAAATTAGTAAGCACAAATAAGCCGTGTTTACTTTGCTTATTGGGTAATTCACCCCTGGTCAGTGGTAACATAAGAAGCGGTGAGTTTTGAGCCAGTGACAAAGGAAATGCTGTTTCTTTCCTGGTCTGCAAGTAGTCAGGCTTGGAGCAGACTCTTTGTTTAAAAGTGCATCTTGCAAAACATTTCCAGTAACCATCAGGCAAAGATGATCTTCCTAGCCAAAAAAAAATGCATGTAAGTGAAATGGGCTCCTCCACAATGCACCACTACCTCCTTAGAGGTTTTACTGACAGCTCTCCTGTAACTTCTCCCTCCCTCCCTTCCTTTCTTTCTCTTTTTCTCATTCCTTGTTCTCCACACCTCTCTGTCTCCCTTCTCTCCTCCCTTTCTCTTTCTTATGTCAGCCAAGCAAACAACAGGGCAGCCACGTGACATCGAGCCTGACTCTCAGACTGAGACCCACAGGCCAGCAGCAGCAGCAGCAGCAGCACGAGCTGGGCGTGTGTTAGAAAGACGATACAATAATAATTTATGAATTATTAAGGGTGCATGGGGGAGAAGGGAGGAGGAAGGGAAGGGGAGAGGGGAAAAAAGGAAAATGAGCTGATTCCGGGAACCCAAGAGGCAAGCGAATTTTGGGAATAATGAGGGCAACAAATGTATAGATGTGTTTTATACAATTGATCTGTGTATTGTGATGAATTGTATGAGCCCCAATAAATTGATTAAAAAAAAAAAAAGAAAGACAGGTGCCCAGGCGCCCCCAGACCTACTGAGGCAGACTCTGCATCTTACCCAGATGCCTGGTGATTTATGTAGACAGGAAAACGCGGGAGATGCTGACTTCAAGTTTAAGGGTTCAGGCTTTAGCATCAGGAAGAACATCACTGAAGTGACAAATATTCTATTAGCTTTGTGGCTATGTACAAGTTTCTTAACTTTCATAAGCCTCATTTTCTTAGAATCAAATAGGAGAATAGTAGCTATCTCCCTATGATGATGATGATGAAATGATATATGTGAAAGCAATTGACAAAGGGCCCGATTTGCTGTGTTATGAGTTACCATCAAGTAGTCTTCAGCCCATGGCAACTCTCTGTACAGCAGAAGAACTTTATTCCTGTCTGGAATAAAGCATGCATTCTGGCATCTATCTGAAATCAGCTAAAGGAATCTCATTCACTCTCTGATAGTGAGCAAGACATTTAACTTCCCTGAGTTACAGGGAGATAAGAGTATTGGAAAAGCAGTGGTGTTCTATGAAGGGGAAAAATGAGTTAAGAGAAGGAGCTGGCATGTAAGAAGCACTAAGCAAAACCCACTACCATCAAGTCAATGCCAACTCATAATGACCCTGAAGGACAATGTAGAACTGCTCCTGCTGGTGTCTGAGATTGTGACTCTTTATGGTAGTAGAAAGTCTCATTTTTCTCCCAAAGAACAGCGGGTAGTTTTGAACTGCTTGCCTTTTGGTTAGCAGCCCAACACATAACCATTATGCCACCAGGGCTCCTGCTAAGCAAATAGGAACTAGCATTAATATTTGGAGAAGCAGACTTGAGTTCCTTGAGTGGCATTGGTTAACTGATGGTGGGCCTAGTCATGTGATGTCAACTGGTGGTCCTAGATTGAATCTGGCTAAAAGAATTTGAAGAGGTGTATTAAGACAGCAGCATTCCTGCTTCACAGTGGTCACAGAAAGGGAGATTTCTGAACTAGCTGTCAAGGAGGCTGAGTTCTGATTGTGGCTTATCACTGAGTGGTGTCATTGGTCAAGTCAGCCCTCCACTCTAGGTCTCAGTTAAGTTGGGATGGATCCAACTACTGGCAGAAAAAAATAGGGTCACATAAATGACACTGCGTGCAGAGGCAGGAACGTTTGTATGAACTCCTTTATGAGGACTGCACTCAAAGGCAGACAGGGTGGAAGGTGCCTGCTCACTTCCCAAATTTTCTTAAAGTGATCTCACCACTTTGTATGAATGGTTCGCTACTCCTTACACAGAAGTGAACGGCAATGCAGATTTGACACCGGTTTACCAGTACTTTCCCTCTTAATAAGTAGATGTTTCTGGAAGGTGTCTTCTGAAGATAGTGTGAACAAGAGGTACGTGTGTCTTTGACCCTTGGAACTCTGGAGATTGTGCTTCCTCGCATCAGCAGTCCCTTTTCCCCTTAATATCCCCAGGTTATTGGACCACCTGGCAACAGCATCACAGTCAAACCACACCTGCTGCTCTCAAGTTGATTCTGACTCCTGGTGACAGAATAGAGTTGCTCAGTAGGGTTTTCTTGCCTACAATCATTACTGAAGCAGATGCCCAGGCTTTTTCCCCATTGCACTACTGGGTGAGTTAGAATCGCCAAGTTAGTAGTCCAGTGCAAACCATTTGTCTTACCCAGGAACCTTCAGGAAATCAGAGATTCTAGATGTGTCTCTGTTTCCTCTCCTGTGGCAGCAGCCCCAGGCAAGAGAGAATCATTGGGTTTGACAGTCAGAGAACACACACTTTTGGGGTATTCCCCCCCTAGGATTTTGTTCTTAACCTTGGCTTGGATTCTTATTTGTAAAGATGCAGCAGATTGGTCCTTGGTTATGAACCTGCATGAATCACTGAAAATTGCCTCAGTCCATCATTTTTTTTACCACTAACTCTCTTTCTTCTGTGCTTTATGTCAATTGTGAACTCTGAACACTAGTATACACATTGCTAACTATTGACAGACAGAGTTTATGGTGTTTCTGCTAAATAAAAGAAAGCTGTAGTTAGAGATCCACGGAACACAATTTCATAGAAAACCCACTATTTGTTTAATAGACTTATCTCCAGAGTGACGAAGCATGCCCATCAGAAAAACAAATTTAGAATATCGGTTCATGTGTCGTGAGTTCCAAAATGATAGGTCAAAAGTTACCTTCTACAAAGATGAAAAAAATTGAAGAGCCGTGGTCAGATCCAGCCCACAGAAGAGTATTTTAGAAATGAAAAGAACTTACAATATCTCGGCCTCAGAGTCAATCCGGGAGATTTGACAAACTATACCAATTTTGCTGGGCAGAACAGTTGTTGCCTTTTAGTTAGGGTAGAACCTGCCAGTCTCCACAGTCCCCACCACTCCTATATTATCCTCATCTGTGCTTTGGTCCATTCCTCCATTGTCCTTACCTGCCCAACTCCTGTGAGCATTTTGATTTCAAGACCCCGTGATTGTGGCTCAAAAGAAAGAGAATTCCGTGCTGGATAAGTTCTCATGGAAAGGAAGGGCTTTCCATGATTCCTGAAGTCTAGGTAGGCCTTCAGTAGTTAGCAGAGGACTCCCTCCACCCCCCCACCAAAAAAAGAAAGAAACTCAAATTATAGATGAATATAGATGTCAGATTGGATGTGATCATGCTAAAAAATAGATACTCCCAGAGGGTTTTTTTAAACCCAATGTAGAATAAGGAAGATGGGGTTTTAGAAACAATAGACTGGTCATGATACATATGGAAGGTTAGAAAATAAAGAGGTTAGGGGCAGCAGCATTGGGGTAGCAGTTGATACAGAAATCCAAGAATTGGACAAACAGGTTTGAGCCTAAGTGGGAGTTCCAAGAATAGGAGACAAATGGTGGGGAGACACTATGAGGGACCTGGTAACTGATGGCTAGGTAGGTTTGAGGCTGAGGGGGAAATCAAATAAGAATCTGAAATTCCAGGCCTTCTGGAAGCTGTACTAGATGCATGAGTGCCGGGAGGACTATATCATTCTTTCCTCTGCTATGCAAGGAACCTTCTGGAAAGCACCGTTCTTTCCAACGTTTTTAAAAATTCTCACCAAGCCTTTCTCTCCCAGGAAAAAGATGTGACTCCAGATAAAAGCTTACTGACCAAGGTGCAAGACGCTGCCCAGTGGCTGGAGACCTTGTCAAACACGAAGCCTGCCAATCCTTCCCTCTCAACCACCTCCTCCATTGCTGACTTCTTCCTGGCCCTGACCATCTGTAACTCGGTCATGGTCTCCACAACAACTGAGCCCAGGCAGAGGGTAAGGACTGATTTGGGTAAGGGGGAGAAGAACGGAGGCAGAGAAGTAGACTAGGGGGGGAGAGATAGGAGAGGAGCCCTGAACAGAGAGGCCATTTCAGTGTCACCATTTCATCAGTAGGAAATCTCAGAAAAGTCTTTAATCCTTTCTGAGCATCAGTTTCCTCATTTTAAAATAAATTAGATAAAATTAAATACCCATTAGATCACAGGCCAATGGGTAGCTTTCACATTCATCTCAAACCTGTCAGCAATGTTAATATTTCCTAGGCATTTGTTCTATGCCAGTCACCAAGTCAAACACGTCACCTGCATGTTTCATCTTCAGAACCCAACAAGGCTGTGAGTTATGTCCTTGGATTTAACAAGTGAATAAAGTAGGGCTCGGAGAACAGAAGAAACTTACCAAAGGATTGTATATGGCGAACCCTCTGTACCGTTCAATAAGGGTCTGTCATAATGTATGACACTGGTCTCTGCTTTCACATGTTGGTTGTGGTGAGTTGCCATTGAGTCAATCCCATGCTCATAGAGTCTCCACGACACAACAGACTGAAATACTGTCTGGCCCTTCAACATCGCCATAATCTTTTGCTGACTTTGAGAAACAGATCACCTGATCTTTCCTCCTAGTCCTTCTTAGTCTGAACACTCTATTGAAGCCTATTCAGCATTACAGCAACACATAAGCCTCCTGTGTGACTCTGGGTTGACTAGAGAAACAAATTCATAGACACTCATATGTATATAAGAAAGAGGTTTATATAAAAGAGTAATTGTATTTTAAGGAAACATCCCAGCCCAGTCCGGATCAAGTTGATAAGTCCGATATTAGCCCATATGTCTGATACCAATCTATAAATTCATCTTCAGACTAATGCAACATAAGCAATTATGCTGAATGCAGGAAGATCACAGGCCAATGTGTAAACTGTCTTGTGGATCCAGTGGTACTAGAAGCATCTCAGCACTGGTGTGGGTCTCCATGTGGCTCCTCCAACTCCAGGGCTCTGGTTCTATCAGCATAGCTCCCTGTGGCTTGTCAACAGGGCTGTCTTGCAGGAAGAGTGTGTATCTGGCCTCCAGTGAGCTATATATATCTGCTTGCAACTCCCAAATGAGGTCATCAAGCTGCGACCTGACTGACAGGCTAGACTCCACACCTTCGCAAGTTGACAGGAGATTACATAACTGCCACACCTCCACAGACAGACAGTTGATATCTGTGCATGAGGTGTATTGTCTAGAAATCAAACCCAGGTCTCCCAAATAAAGGCAAGAATTCTACCAATGAACTACCAATGTCCCCATCTGCTTAAAAAAAAAAGTTTCATTTTTTACTGCTGTTAAGAATATACTCAGCAGAACATAGTCCGCCTCAGCAATTTCTACATGTACAGGTCAATAACACCTATCCGTTTTTATGCATCACCATTTATGATGTACTGCGAAGGGAGGTAACGGCAGCACTTTGGGTTGTTTTTAGTACTGAAGGTTGATTTGTTCTTTGTCTACACACACTCACCCAAGCTCCCTTGTGAGTCATTGATAAGAATACTTGATAGTAAAACCTATGACTAGGAACCCAAGAAAAGAAGGTTCACTTGGGCCCCAAATCAGAAATACCCCTTACTAAGGCCAAGCGCCCACCCATTCTGAAATTTTCAGCCTCAGAAGACTTGCCAAGTTATCAGAAGCCTTCAGGAGGTTTGGGGAGGCAGAAAGCATGGTCTGAGAAATTAACTATAGTTCTGAGACAGGAAGAACATTCTTGGATGATCGGATATCCAACTCCCAGTACTCAAGTTGAGGGATGGCAAGGCAGTGGGTGGGTGGGTGGGTGGAGCTTGGTCTTAGCTGGCTGGAAGGTCAGTGAGAAAAGAGGTGAGCTCTGGAGTTAAGCAGACCGAATTTGGGTTTCGACTCCACTGTTCAGACACTATGTGATAATGACCAATTTTCTGAACTTCTTGGTGTATGGGCTTCCTTCTGGAAGAGTTGGAAAACCAGACCTTGCCCACAGAGATAAAGCAGATGCCCAGGGCTGAGGAATCTGGCGTTTGTCTTCTTTTGTTCTTTCTTCGTGATCACCCTGCAGCGGTTAAAGATGGAGACAAGGAGCACGGACAACCTCTGAAGACCAGGGCTGGAAGGAAACGTCTGACCTAACCCCTTCATTTTACCATGGGTAAACTGAGACCCACATGGGAGGAGCCTCCTGACAATCAGAGAAATCACTATTCATGACCTGAAATTTTTCTCTCATCTTTTACTGTGAGTGAGAGCGTTTGGTACTTTTTCCAACACCAACAGTAATGTTCTTCTGTTCTTCTTTGACTCAAGGTCACCATGTCAACCTCAACCAAGGTTCTGGGAATGTCCCTGGAGAAGCTGCAGCAACTCTTCCAGAGGTTGAAGCTGTCAAACCTCAGCCACTCGTTCTCGTCCACGGCACCCTTTGACACAGACCTGGAGGAGAGTGTGGGAACCAACATGCCCACCACGGACTCAGAGGAGAGGGACGATGCATCTGTGTGTAGTGGGGGCTACTCCACCGATGGCGGCTACCGGAGCAGCACATGGGACCAGGGAGACATGCTGGGATCTGCAGAAGGCCCTCCACTGGAGGAGGCACTGGAGACCCCGGCCCTGGGCTTGGCTAGTTCTGACCTCTGCTACGAGGCCGAGAGCCCTGACGAGGCAGCCCTGGTGCATGCTGCGCGCGCCTACAGGTTCACGCTGGTGTCCCGCACACCAGAGCAGGTGACTGTGCGCCTGCCGCAGGGCACCTGCCTCACGTTCGACCTTCTCTGCACCCTGGGCTTTGACTCTGTCAGAAAGAGGATGTCCGTAGTTGTGAGGCACCCACTGACCGGCGAGATCATAGTCTACACCAAGGGTGCCGACACAGCCATCATGGACCTGCTGGAAGACCCGGCCTGCGGTAAGTCTCACCTCACACTGAGGTGCAAGAACCAAGGACTCTGGTCATTTAGAAGGCAGTGGGGAATGGTCCTTAGGTGCTCACATCACAATGTCACCTGGTCAGCAGGTGTGTTAGTCTGGGCAGACTAGAGAAACAAATCCATGGACACACATATGTGTATAAGAAAGAGATTTATGTATAAGAGGAATTGAACATTGAGAAAACATTTGAACCCAGTCCAGTCCAAGGCCATAAGTCTGATATTAGCCCATATGTCTGATACCAATCTATAAAGTCCTCTTCAGACTCTCGAAACACATGCAATGACGCCAAATGCAGGATGCTCACAAGCCAGTGGGTAGAAAGTCTTTGGATCCAGTGTCATTGGAAACATCTCAGTGCTGGCAGGGGTCTCTCGGTGGCTTCTCCAGCTTCCGAGGTCTGTTTTTGTCCATGTGGCTTGCCTTCTGCAACGTCTTCCAGGAAGTGGCAGAGAGAGAAGTGTCTTCCTCCTCCAAGGAGGAAGCACCAGATTTCCCAGGAGAAGGCCATGCCCACAGAAGTCTCATTGGCTATCTCCAGATTGACAGCCTAGACTTCACCCCTACACTCTGAATCCTTAAATTGACACCAGATTAGGTGACTGACACAGCAGGCCTACAAGATGCCTTCCTCAAAGCAAGTTCCATAGTCAAACGGACACACTGCATTCAGCATCTCCTCCCTCTGGGGACCCCAGTACACATGACCCTATGTAAGGCTCTGGGCCATCTTCAATTCACCCCAGTTCACCAAAACCAAACAATGAAAATGACTCTGTGGTTCAGGATCTGTTCATGAGGCACTACTACGGGAACCTTCCAAAAACTCCCTATCCCCGACTCAGTTCCAACTCATAATGACCCGATAGGCCAAAATAGAACGGCCCTTGGGTTTCTAGGACTGTAACTCTTTAAGGGAGTTGAGAGCCTCATCTTTCTCCCAAAGAGCAGCTGATGGTTTCGATAGGCTGACCTTGTGGTTAGCAGCCCAATACGTAACCTACTATGCCATAGGGGCTCCTATTTATTCACCCCTCTAGTTTTTCAACTTCATTTGATTAGATTATCTATCTCCACACATTGTGTGTGTGTGTGTGTGTGTGTGTGTGTGTGAGAGAGAGTGTGTGTGTAGGACACACATTACACTACCGTAGGTCAGGGTCAGCAAATGTTTGAGATGGAAGAGCCAGTTCTTTTTTAATTTTTTTAATCATTTTATTGCAGGCTCATACAACTCTTATCACAATCCATACATACAACCATTGTGTCAAACACATTTGTACATCTGTTACCATCATAATTCTCAAAATATTTTCTTTCTACTTGAGCCCTTCATATCAGCTCCTCATTTTTCTCCTCCCTCCCCCGCCCTCCCTCACGAATCCTTGATAATTTATAAACTACTATTATTTTTCCATGGGAAAAACACACTGTCTGATGTCTCCTTAACCCACTTTTCTGTTGTCCGTCCCCCAGGGAGGGGGATTATATGTAGATCATTGTGATCAGTCCTGCTTTCTACCCCACCTTTCCCTTACCCTCCTGGTATACTCTCATTATTGGTCCTGAGGGGTTTCTGTCCTGGGTTCCCTGTGTTTCCAGTTCCTGTCTGTACTAGTGTACATCCTCTAGTCTAGCCAGATTTGTAAGGTGGAATTGGGATCATGATAGTGGGGGGGGGGGGTGGCGGGGGAGGAAGCATTAGAGAACTAGAGGAAAGTTGTATGTTTCATCGTTGCTATACTGCACCCTGACTGGCTCGTCTCCTCCTCACGACCCTTCTGTAAGGGGATGTCCAGTTACCTACAAATGGGCTTTGGGTCTCCACTCTGCTGATTTTTTGTTCTTTGATGCCTGATACCCAGTCCTATCAACACCTCGTGATCACACAAGCTGGTGTGCTTCTTCCATGTGGGCTTTGTTGCTGCTTCTCAGCTAGATGGCCGCTTGTATATCTTCAAGCCTTTAAGACCCAGATGCTATGTCTTTTGATAGCCTGGCACTATCAGCTTTCTTCACCACATTTTCTTATGCACTCACTTTGTGGAAGAGCCCGTTCTATCCCTCATAACAATTTTAAATTTTTTCAAGAACCATAAAAATAAATTTTACAGACAAATGAAATCACCAGTATCTGGCAATTAAACCATGATTAGTTTCATTTTCAGTTTTATGTCAAAGCTTCATGTAGGTACCAGAAGAGCTGTGGTGAGTTTGAGAATAGCAGTGTGCCAACCCTGCCGTAGGTGCACACCTTGGGTAGTAAAAATGGTTAAAATGCTGAAATGTAAACCAAAAAGACAGAGGTTTAAGTCCTTCTGGAGGTGCCTTGGAAGAAAGATCTCCTGGACTGCTTCCAAAACGTCCGCCATTGTAAACCCTATGGCGTTCCAGTTCTATGCTGGTACACATGGGATCATCATACAATCCCATGGTGGCGTTGTGTTTATTCGAGTTTTTGTGTTGTTTTTGCATGTTTTGTTTTGTTTGTTTTTGAGAAGACACTGTGGAGTTCTCTCCCTTCCTCCCTCCCTCCATAGAAAAAGAGAGACTAACGGGAACCCAGAGAAGGTAGTAACTTAGGAGAGGTCACACAGCAAACTGGTGGGAGATCCCAGGCCCAGATTTTCTGAATGCCAATTCAGAGCCCTTTCCATCCTGCCAGGATTCTGAGCCGGGTTCAGTACACTCTGGGAAGCCTCAGGTGTTCCTCTTGTCATCCTCTTCCCCAGCCATCCCAAAACATATTTTCATAAACTTGCGCTGAGCCAGAAAAATGCTCCAAAGTTCCTATATATCAGTGTCCAATTTTGGAGCAGTATGAATTAGTGTGCAGCCGTTTCCTGATTGCTAACAAGAAGAAGACAGTTATGGGGCTATGATTCTCCCAGGATAGTAGATGCTGGCCAAGCTTTAGAATTGCCCAGGCAGCCCTGTGCCTCCTGCATTATCAGCTGTGGATCAGGGCCAAGCAGTTCATGGGGATGGATGAGTGTTCAGAATGAGGAGGGAGCTAATTAGGCCTCTTCCTCCCCAGACTCTGGCAGACAAGTGAATTCAGTGCTCTGAGGCAAGGGAACGAGGGTGCTACCCCTGGCCAGCAGCCATCCAAGCTGCCCTGGAGACGTCTCTTTATTTGTTCCTTACCGGGTTCCAAACTGGAGTCGAGATGCTTCCAATAAAAGGCATATATTCAATGTTGTTATAGGAATTAAGAACAAAGCTTTGAAAAGGGAGAGATAAAATAACCCCAGGTTCGGCCTCAAACATACAACTAGACTCTGCAGTTCCTGGCTGCCTGAGCAAAAAGGTCAACCTACATGCTCATGAGTGGAAGACGAGGGATTAATCTCAAGAGCTTGCAGCTATGGGAAATAAAATATAAAACAGTGCTCAATACACCTATGGGAAGATGGAGGCTGTGCTTCAAAAATCAAAGAAACTGTTGTTGTGGTGGTGGTGGTTGCCGTTGCTGTTAGATGTCCTTGAGTTGGCTACAACGCGTAGTGGCTGTTTGTACAACAAAACCGAACACTGCCTGCACCACCCTCTCACTGGTCCTTCTGTTTGAGCCTATTATTTCGGCCACTGTCAATCCGTCTTGTCAAGGGTCTTCCTCTTTTTCGCTCCTCTTCTGCTTTCCCAAAAAGTTCTTTTCCAGGAACTGGTCTCTCCTGGTAACATGTTCAAATTACATGAGATGAAGGCTCACCAAAAAAACAGTAGCACCTGAAAAATAAGAAAATGATCTTTAAAAGAATGTAAATATGGTATTAAAGCACCTTGGTGTGTTATGGCAGGGAAAAGCAGAGCTTTGTTGGACGTCCTTGTTGTTTTGCGTTCCTAAGGCTGCTGTAACAAGTTAGGACTGGCCAGCTAATCCTGATGGAGATTCATTGTCTGGGCGTTCTGGAGCCTGCGAGTCCAGAATCAGAGTGTCCGTCGTGTTGATTTCTTCTGGGCGCTTTGAAAAGGAACTGGTTCCATTTGTCTTTCCCAACGTCTGGTTGCAGTCAGCAGTCATGGGCATTCCTTCTCGCCCTAACCTTGGCTCAGACTTCATGCAGCTCTCTTCCCTGGTGCCTGTGATACATCTTCTCTAAGGACGCTATTCATATTGGATTAGGACCCACCATGCTCCACATTACCCCATGTTAACCTGACCGGTAACATCTACAAAGATCCAGTTTCCAAACAATGTCACATTCACAGGTAGGGACTCAGGACTTCAACAATATCTTTTAGGGAAACACAATTTAATCCAGAACACTCCTCTTTTTTATTAACTTTTTTGTTATGAACTAGTTTGGAACCTGTGAGGAACAAGTAATTAGGTGATTAGAGCAGATCAGTTTTCCATTCAACAATTCATACACATTGTATGTCGTGTAATAACAATCCCTACAGTGTAACATCACCTATCTCACTTCTTCCTGTGACTCCTATTTTCATTCCTCCTTTTTTCTTAACCCTTCTGAACTTTGTCCTTGGGTAAATCCTGCCGTCTGAATCTCAAATGACTGGTAGTTTGAAATTGTGCACCCCTCCCTAGTGTGACTGTGGGGGGGGGGGGTGTGCCTGAAAATGGAGGCATTGAGGGGAGTTCAGTTCCAGATCTGAAAGACAACTACAAGCCATGGTCTTGGGGGGCTACCAGTCTCTATCCAGCCAATAGACCTGGTCTTTTCTATAATTTTAAATTTTATTCCACAAGTTTTTCCCACTCTATCCAAGATCACCCCTTTCGAAGTTGGTAATGGCAGCAGAGGCGGAGTCAGTTTGTCGTGGCCTCGGGGTCAGGAAGACCGATATTCGCATGGTCTCTTGGACGAATTGGTCCATTGGATGAATTGTCCCCATGTGCCTTTAATGTGCCTCCGCCCCTCTTTCTTCTGGACAACTAGAGATCAGCAGTCGCACCTTAGGTGGCTGGTCTTCAGCTTTTAGGGTCCCAAGGGCTACTGACCAAAGTAGATTATAGAACATTCTTTAAATAATACTTATTGTTAAGAGTTGTATTTTCAATTTTGAATTACATAGAAGGGTCAAGGAAGTACACAAAATCTGTTCACTGCTTAAAAAAAAACCAAAAGAACCTAGATCCATCCTGGTTCAGGATTTTAGAACCTTTTCAAGCTAAGCTTTCCAAAGCACTATTATCGATTGATGTTTGTGATGTCACTGGTGAGAAAAGCAATGAGTGGTATCCGTTCTGCTCAACACTAGCCAGTCTGATTTAAAATTCTGATTACTTAATAATAGAAGGAGTGGAATATCAAGAGAAAGAAACATGAGGTAGGACTGCATAAAGAGAATTTTAAGCAACACGTGTTTTTCATTCTAAATTTAAAGAAATTATGTCTTTTTCTTTTCGAAGATTACTTCTTGCATAGAGAGAAAACCTAACTTAGCAAGCCCAATGTAGTAACGAATTTAGTTAATAAGATCCAGAGGTGTCGACGTTTGGAAGCCTAACTTGATACAAGGGTTGAAGTAGATGACAGTAAAGATGATGCGTGGCATGTCCAAGACCTTGGAGACAGTTTCCAAAATCGGTTGCCCTTCAGGGTGTCTCCATGGAAAGCACCAAGATCACTTACTAGAATCACACATTGGGGCCTCTCCAAGGAGGTTCTGAGTCAATTGGGCTGGAATTAGACCTGGGAATCTCTAGTATTTGTTGACATTTCCCAGGTAACTGATGAAAACACGTGTTTGGGAGCATCACCTACCTCCCTTAAATAGCACTTTTCTCAGCCAGGCTACTGATGGGCTATAATAAACAGTGACCTTAAAGACGCTGGGAGTATCACTGTCCAGGGCATCTTCACGGTCAGAAGAGCTTTTTGTGTCTCCGGGTGGGCTGTTGGCAGTCCTTCTCCTTGGAAGGATTTCTGATCATCGGAGAAGACTGTAGGTGCTGAAAACAGAAATCTCCAAGCCTTTGTATGTAACCTGATGGAGGCCAATGGTTATTTGACAGTGACTGACACTGATGTGGAAAAGAAGCTGAGGAAAATACATGCCAAGACCCAGAAGCATCTAGACTTATATGCAAGAGATGGCCTCCGTACGCTGTGCATCGCCAAGAAGGTAAGGGAAGGTCCCTCCATGAACCCTTGGAAGATCATTAACAGCTAAGGCACTGTTCTGTCCTTTGTCCTCTCTGCCTTCTCCAAGAGTAGCTACTCAGTTTCCACAGAGGCCCCTGACCTCAGTAACTTGGCCAGGGCAGAATGCTGAATGGTGAAATCGCATTATCAACACAACTCGATCATTTCCTGCTGCTTATTGTATCTGTAAATATTAGGCAACTCATAAAATGATTCTTTAATGTTTGATTTTGACCTCCATAGAATCTTTTTTAAATTTTCATTATTTTTCCTAGACTTCAATTTTAGAGGTTTTTATGCGATCTCATAAAAATCTAGATTTCTGAATTCTCAGGAATGTGGAGGGGCTGACAAGTGGGGCCTCTATTACTGAAGAGCAAGGATCAGCTCGAGGCCGTGGTGTAGATGTAGATTGCCCATCTCTTCCCCTCATGCCTTGGACCTTGCAGCCCTTGCAAAGGAGACATGCAAAGAGGGCTGTGAACCACACCGCAGGGGCATCAAATGAGGTACCTAAAAGCTAGTGGGAGATCTAAGATAGCTAGAAATGTTTTCTCCTCTGTAAATCCCCAACGCCCCCCCACCATTTCTTTTATGGTACTTAGTGCCATCTGGAGTTTAAAGTTTATGCCCAGACCCACCTATGTACAAGTCCAAGTCTTACCACTAATCAGATGTGTGTGACCTTGGGAAGTTTCTTCACCTCTCTGAGTTTTGGAACTTATTTGTAAAATAATGGAAGCAGTCCCTAGCCCATACTGTTGTCATAGAGACTAAGTAAGATACCATGTACAGTACCTGGTATAGCTCCCTACTCTATAAATTATAATCATACACTTTCTAAAACCATTATTTGAGCATATTTCATCTCCCCTGACAGACTTTGAGGAGCCGTAGTGGGGCAGTGAGTTTAGTGTTGGGCTACTAATGAGAGAGTCAGCAGTTCAAATCCACCTTCCGCAAGAGAAAGATGGGGCAGTCAGCATCTACAAAAAAAAAAAAAAGGTACAGCTCAGAAACCCTAAAGAACAATTCTACCCAAAAAATCTCAATGCCATCAAGTCACTTTTGACCCATAGTGCCCCTACATAACAGGGCAGAACTGCCCCTGAAGGTTTCCCCAACTATAACTCTTTATGGGAGTACAAAGCTTCGTCTTTCTCCCAAGGAGCAGCTGGTAGTTTTGAATTGCAGACCTTACAGTTGGCAGCCCAATGTATAACCACTATGTTATATAGGGCTCCCTTGACTCAACAACCCTGAGTCAATTTTGTGACTTTGGTTTTAGCTTTGGATAGACAGTGAATTTCTCACTGGCAAAAAGCCTACCTATGTCCCCTCACCATTCCCTATATCGCCAGACCCAGAGGTGCATGTAATAAATATTTGGTTCTGCGATAAAAGGATCACCCATGCCAGGATGGGGAGTGGGCATAAGATGCTGTCACAGGGGTCTGAAAGGACTATGGGACTCTGAGGGAAGATGCTGTGACCTTACCTGGGTACTTCCAGTTACTGGGCAACTGTGCCTGCACAGTAACCTGCCCAGCAGAGTGGTCTACTAGACGATGCACGAACCGCCTGCTGCTGCCCTTCCCGGCCTCTCTTCACCATACTTTCCGTCCTTCAGGTGGCTGTTAGGTTCAAGGGACAGAGGGAAAGCCAAGTCCATGGAAGCTTCACAGCCTTTGCATTGATACAATGACAAGTGCTTTCCCCCATGTCACCTCATCGAAGAGCTTTGAACATCTGCGTGAAAGGAGACCTCCCAAAGCTATCCCTCCACCCTGCCACATGATACCATATCACCCTTTTTATTTTCTTGATAGGAATTCTGTTCTTTTAAAATATTTACTTGACCGATGTCACTCTCCCTCCACCAGCATACTAGCCCAGGCATGCAGGGACCGTGTTTGTCTTGAACACTGCTGTGTCTCCAGTGCCCAGGGCACAATAGGGGCTCAACAGATGCCTGGTGATAATGGAACACAAAGATCAATGCTTCATTGATTTCTACATGCTAAGAGGAAAAGACATTGAGGAGAAAATCCATCTAATTGTGTAGGGAAGCTGAAACAGGCCTACAGGAGGTGGGCAGGAGAGGAGGTGTCTGTTCCCACACCCACCCCAGTTAGTGACCCAGCCTTTTCCCGTCTGCAGGTGCTGAGCGAAGAAGACTTCCGGCGGTGGGCCAATTTCCGGCGTGAGGCAGAGGCATCCCTGGACAACCGAGAGGAGCTTCTAATGGAAACGACTCAGCATCTGGAGAATCAACTCACCTTGCTCGGTAGCTAAAAATAAGCCATCATTAAATGAAAGGAGGAATACTGCAAGTTGGAAAGGGAGCTCTTGGCCCTGATTCTGACGCTGCTGCAAATATGTCTCAATTAGAAGGCTTCCCCGGGGTGCCCTTCCAGGTACTTGGTACAAAATGGATGTGCCAAAACTCAACTCAGACTCCCACACAGCTCCGCAAAATGCACCCCTCGGGAACAATTCTGCACACCCTGCTGGCAGACGCCAATGAGATTGGCGCCTCCAACTGCAACACATGCCTTCCGTGCTTTCAATGTTTACTGAGCACCTACTATGTGCCAAGTAACACTAAGTTTTGAAACTGCAGTGGAAGCTACAGCGCAAGCGCCCCTTCCCTCCCAGAGCCCGGAGTTTAGTGAGGAAACCTGATGATTAAGCATAGAATTGGAGCAGAGTGTGATTAGCGGCAGGCTGAAGGGTGTACCCGGTAGTGGGAGTACCTAGTAGGGGGTGTCAGTGTTGCTTTGTGGCTGGGGAGTCCTAGAAAGATCAGGAACTGAAAGGTAGAGGGCAGGCAAAGACGGAGAGTGTTCCAGGCAGAGGGAAGGACAGAAGCAGAGGCCTGGAGATGGGATCGCAGAGCAAAGCAAAGCCAAGCAACCTCACTACCACCCAGTTGATTCTAACTGGTAGCCACCCTGTAGGACAGGGGAGAGGCCCCTGTGGGTTTCTGAGGCTGTGATTCTTTACGGAAATAGAAAGCCCCATCTTTCTCTAGAGAGAGCGTAGGCGAGCTGAAAACTCAGAGAGGTCAACTGTGGCTGGCTCAGCGTGTGTGTGGTCCTGATGGGAGGTGAGAGAAGTAAGCAGGGCTCAGACTATGAACAACTGTGTAAATCAGAAACTACAGGTTTGAAGTGGGTAGAGGGTGGATATAGCGCCCAATGTGTGCTTTAGAATTGTTCCTCTGGCTGCTGCAGCATAGAAAATTTAACACTGACATGAAAGGGGGGAAATGAGAAGCACAGAGACCAGTTAAGAGAGATCACGTTTTCTTGGAGGAAAAGAATTGCCAAGAGGGGAAAGGGAGGCTCTATGTACCAGGGTTAGTCTCATAAATGTGATCTGGGCAAGACAAGGACACAAGCAGCACACACTAACCATGGGGCCATGTCGTGATCTTGCTGGGTGTCCAGGGACACATGCTTGCAACCCTCTGAGCCCTAGTTTCTCTCCTGGGTCAATTACACTCCTCTAAACTGACCAGGCCATGGGGCAAAGGAGAGAGCCCAGGATGCTGTCAAATGATGGTGATGCCTTTACATCTAAAAGGTGGCAACAAGATTTTGAAGCCCAGGTGGCAAGTTGTTGGTGCTTTGAGCTGCCAGCCCCACCTCACAGTGATCCCATGCACAAGAGAACAAAACGCTGCCCGGCCCTAAGCTGTCCCCATGATTGGTTGTGTGTCAGACAATGTGGCGATCCCTCAGGCTTTCATGGGCTGGTTTCAGAAACAGACTTCCAGGCCTTATCTTCCTAATTCATCTTAGACTGGAAGCTCCACTAACACCTGTTAAACCTCATAGCAACACACCCCATTTCTGCTGACGGATGAGCTGTGGCTGTGCACGAGGTGCACTGGCTGGGACTTGAACCTGGGTCTCCACATAGAAGGCAAAAATTCTACCGCTGATCCCACAACTCTTCTTAGGTGCCAAATGGGTAGAAAAGATGGCTTCCCAACACGTTTGGCCTTTTTGGGGCCGGTGTTTTGGCTGCTGGACCCTTTGCTTGCTGCCTCATCAAGGCCCCGTTAAAACTGACCGCAAAATTTATCTTACCAAGGACCCGAGGTGGCTCGACCAGACAGCCCCATCCCCCGCAGGAGGTCCCACAGCGGCTCATGATCCTCCTCTGCCTTCCTGGAGGAGGCTTTGGCTTCGTGCAGAGCCTGGTCTCCGTGAGGGAGTAGTGTTCCGCAGCTAGTTCTGCGTGAAAGAGAACCTGTCAGGACCTGCCGACTTCCCCTGGCTGGAAAAGATGTTCACAACCTTCCTGTTTCATTTTCTCTTTCACACAAATAAATGTGTTTTTCCTCCTCTCTGCCTCATTCTGCCTCACTTTAATATACATCAGCTTCAGAATCTCACCTTCCAGGCTAACCCTTGGAGAAGAAAATAGGAGGATGGCGCCATCACTTTTCCTGGGGTTGTTTACCTGCACATTTGGACCTGAAATACAAAACAGGAGCATTTCAGAGAAAAGAGGTTATTTGTCTCCCTCAAGGTGGTTTGGTAAGGAAAAGCCTGGGGCTGGCATGAGATTTCATCTCACCATCAAGAAACTACCCTGCTATTTAAAAAGCTGCATAACGTTCACACCAAGTCCCTGACTATGAAATTATCTTTTCAGTATGCACCCAGTGTAACTGCTTGGCCAACCTATTGTCACTCCACATTATTAAGAGAAATGAAATGCCTTGCTCCTTTCCAGAATGAAATGAGTAGCCATTAGTCTGTGGTCTGAAATGAGCCTCAATTTAAATGCAGATTTATTTTTACTTAATCGCTTAGCAACTATGTATTACCAAAAAAGAAAACTCCCCATCGAGTCGATTCTGACTTACGACAACCCTGTAGAATAGAGCAGAATACTCTATAGGGTTTCAGACTCTCACCTTGCCAGAAGAAAAGTGACATGGTTCAAACTACCAACTTGTCAGTTACCAGACAAGTGCTTAAACCACTGTGCTACCAGGGCTCATCAAACACTGCAGTACTTGGGTGTACATTTATGAGGGTTAGTGCAAAGCTTGAGATCACTCATTAAAAATAAGGACCCTGCATGTTAACTCCCTCCAGGATTATTAACAAAAGCATGGGTCCATGTTCATGTTGCTATGCAACAGATGCAGAGCAAAATTCTCAATCTCTCCATTTTTCTTCTCTGCAACTGATAATGTCCAGCCACTCTGCTAGAAAAAGATGAGGCCATCTGTTCTCCCCAAACTGTGCAGCCTCAGGAAACCTACATGCGCTGGAATCAAATTGCAGCAACTCGGTGGGTTTGGTCCAGGCCACTATCTCCCTGGACTCTGTCGCAGGCTCCGAACTAACTGTTCCCTTACCTCCCACCCTGCTTCCCCCAATCCCCAATCCATTTCCTGAAGTAATCTTTTGTAAACTCAAAACTGAGCCTGTCACTCTCCAACTTAACACCTCTATTAGCTTTCTTTGATACTAAATATAAGCTAACCCCCTCAGTCTCCTGACAAGACTCTGCGTGACCCAGCCCTGGCCTCCCTCTTGGATTCTCTTTCATTCCACTCTACCTCCAGGTCTATACGCATGCTGATCCCCTTCTCTGGAATCTTCTTCCTCCTCCCCTCTTTGCTTGATCTAGCATGTCAGAATTTCAATGATACTTCCTCAGCAAGGCCCTTGCTAACCTTCCAGAGGAAGCCCAGTTCTCCTGTAGACAAGTTCATGTAGCTCAGTTATAAAACCTTTCTCAACAAGCCTTCAAGGCTGGAGATGGTAGGGACCAACTTGATTGCTCAGCACAGCCCAGACCTGGGATGATATTTAATAACCATTGCCTGACTTGAAAGGGCCTTAGGGAAATTAAGCTGCTACTCTTTGACCATGACTGTGAGCACTGGTGTCTTTGGTCACTCTAGGAGCCACTGGGATTGAAGACCGGCTGCAAGAAGGAGTTCCAGATACGATCGCTGCTCTGCGGGAAGCTGGGATCCAGATCTGGGTCTTGACTGGAGATAAGCAGGAGACAGCAGTCAACATCGCCTATTCGTGCAAACTGTTAGATCAGACCGACACCGTTTACACCATTAACACAGAGAATCAGGTGAGGCCAAACTGGGGACCAGATGCCCAAGTGCAGAACTGCCCATGGGCCAATAAGATTCAATCTAATTGGTGGGATTTAGGGACACACAGAATGTACCTCTTCCCTAAAATATCACTGAACACTGAAGCTGGGAGGACCCTAGAAGTCATCTCACTCCATCCCATAAATGGTTGAGTTTCTTTGTTCAATGGTATTTACACTTACTTGAACCCTGGTGGCAGAGTTGTTATGTTTTGGCTGCTAACTGCAAGGTCAGTAGTTCAAAAGTACCAGCTATTCCATGGGGGAGGGAAGGGGGGAATGAGGCTTTCTACTCCTATAAAGAGTTACAGTCTCAGAAACCTCCCAGGGCCATTCTCCCCTACCCTATAGGGTCACTGTGAGTCGGAATCAATTCAATGGCGATGAGTTTTTGGAGCCCTGTTTCATTAAAAATTCTCTATTCCCATCTTGGTCCAGTCTTCCCATTTAATAGATGAGGAAATTGAAGACCTCTGGCCCAAGGTCACCCTGCTAGTCTCTCCTACACAGAAGTCTAGAACTCTGTTCTCCTGAAAGGCCAGTGCTATTGGCATTATACCAGACTGACAGCTCACAGGACCTTGAATGCCAGTCTCTTACTGCTTTGCATTCATACCTCCACTGAAAATAGCCCCAATTAAATTGAGCTTATTCTGAGTTAAAATGTTCAGCTACACTGTGTCAAATTGGCTTGCCACAGAATAGAAATGTAAGGAAAACAATGCCTAACACCAGTGTGTTTTCATAAAAAGAGAGAGAGAGAGAAAGAAGCAAAGTTTTGAAACTTCAATTTCCAAACAGAACAGATCGTGGGTAGCAGAGATCAGGATTTGGAGAGAGGACTGTGTAAACTCTGCAGAAGCATATTTAAAGTTTTAATAAGATTTGGTGTCTGGGAGAAAAAAACTAATCTTACAATGGATACTACAGAAAAGTCAAGTCCTACCATCTTCTTGGCTGATAAGTATGGTAAGGAAGCCTTGAGATGTATTCTCTGAGTGGATCCCCCACACACTTGACTGCTAGCTGGAAATTGATCGCTCAAACATCCAACGGCACTTTGGGAAACAGGCTTGGCTACCTGCCTCCCAAAGACCCCAGCCTGGAAGCACCTGTGGAGCAGTCACCAGAGTTGGAATTGACTCAGTGACAAGTAACAGCACAATCAAAGGGAGCAGGTATCCAATCAGAACAGGATGGCAAGAAGGAAAGCACTGCATTGTGGGAGCTGGTGAGAGTCCTGGGGAACAGCACCGCGGAGAAAGGATGGAGAAGTGGAGGCCAGGGAAAGGCAGCACAAAAAGGAGGCAGGCAGGCTGCTGTCGTTTGTACTCATTAAGGTTGGTCCCTTCTCACTTTCACAGTTCACCAGAGGCTGATCTGAGCCAGAATAGAAGCTTGGGGAGGTTTCTATTTGATTTTCATTCCATGAAGCAACTACATACACACATATTTAAAACAATAAAATGGCATGTATACTATAAAAAAGACCTCAGACCTTCTAGATGAATTGGGAAAATCATCTACTTTTTTGTCAGGTGCACAGATTATGTGGTGATTAGCTTAAACCCCAATATATTTTCAATGTAAAGATAATCTGGGAGATATCTTTGACTTTAATACTATGCTTAGGAAAGAAAGTAATTTGCAGCTTGCTTGAGAACTTGATCCCTGTAATAATGTTGATGTCTGCCTGCCCCACAAGAAATGGAAACACGGTGTGTGGTGCTCATTTCCCTCCAGGTGACTTCTGAGGGAGGACAACTGAAAACCCAGTCACCAAGGGGTGAGGGGCAGGGGGAGCTTCCTTTGATTCTGTTCAGTGCACTGCCTTCCTGTAGGAAGCAGAAGAAGTTTGTTGGTTAATTAGCTAAAGGCACGTAAGGACCAGCTCTCTTAAAACCATTCAGGACCCTTCATGATCCTGTCTGGACACCCAGTGCTGCCCACACCACTGGGCTCATTAAAATTGTTCAGTTCCTTTTTCATCCCCATGTTTGGGTGGAAGCAGTAGACACATAAACATGCTAAGCTGGAAAGTAGGGTAATCCATTTCCAAACTTAGATTTATGTTCACTCCGGTTTCATATAGTTACACATATTCAATTACATACTGTCTTCTCCAAGGGTTTTAGTTTGCTCCATTCACTATTGCTTGGTTCTGGGCTACTGATTCTTTGTTATGTATATTAAAGCTATAATCCATTTATGAGACCAGTGTAGATCTTCAGCGTTCTCATCTACAAAATGAGGGGATTGCTAACCCATCACTGGAACTGCTGCTGCATGGTGGAGTTTTACAAGGGACTACAGTATCAGAAGGAGCCCGTGTGGGGCAGCAGTTAAGCACTAAACTACTAAAGGGTGACTGGATCCCACCAGCTGCTCCAAAGGTTGATAGTCTAGACACCCACATGGGGTGGTTGGGCTCTCTCCTCTTAGGGTCACTGTGAGTTAGAATCAACTCAATGATTCTAGTATTAGGAAATCAACGTAACAATATTAGTGTTATTTTTAACAACATTCATTGCTTTCTTTGGTTATTTTTCTGTTTCACTTTTATTTTTTTATTAAATACTTTTATTGGGGGCACTTTCATCTCTTATCACAATCCATACATTCAGCCACTGTCTCAAGCACATTTGTGCATATGTTGCCATCATCATTTTCAAATCATTTTCTTTCTTTTTGAGCCCTTGATATCAGCTCCTCATCTCCCCCTCCCTCTCCTCCTCTCCCTCCCTCATGAACCCTTGATAAGTTATAGATTATTATTTTCATATCTTATATCATGCTCTGTGACACTTCATCTACTTTTCTGTTGTACAACCCCTGGGAGGGGGTTATATGTTGATCCTTATGATCAATTCCCCCTTTCTTCCCCCACCTTCCCCTTATCCTCCAGATATCTCTGTTCTCATTGTTGGTCCTGAGGGGTTTATCTATCCTGGATTCCCTGTGTTGTGGACTCATATCTGTAGCAGTGTATATGTTCTGGTCTGGTCTGATTTGTAAGGTAGAATTGAGGTCATGATAGTGAGGGGAAGGAAGCATTAAAGAACTAGAGGAAAGCTGTATGTTTCATCAGTGCTATACTGCACCCTGACTTGCTTGTCTCTTCCTTGTGACCCTTCTGTAAGGGGATGTCCAATTGTCTACAGATGGGCATTGGGTCTCCACTCAATGCCCACCCCCACCCCCATTCACATTGGTGTATGATTTTGTTCTGGTTCTGATACCTGATCCCATCAACACCTCGTGCTCACACAGGCTTGTGTGCTTCTTGTGGGCTTTGTTTCTTCTGAGCTAGATGGCCGCTTGTGTATCTTCAAGCCTTTAAGACCCCAGACACTATATCTTTTGATACCCAGGCACTATCAGCTTTCTTCACCACATTTGCTTATGCATCCATTTTGTCTTCAGGGATCATGTCAGGAAAGTGAGCATCACAGAATGCCTTGTGTTGAAGAAATACTTGAGGCCCAATGTCCATCTGCTACCTTAATTCGTAACATATAGATATAAGTACATTTCTATGTCATTACATATAAATATATTTACATATGTACACGCCTGTTTTTAGATCTCTATAAATGTCCTTTGCCTCCTAGTTTTTTCCTCTATTTTCTTTTATTTTCCTCTTGTCCCACTATCATGTTCAGCCTTCATTCGGATTTAGTAATTCCTTGCTGTTACATTGCCCTTGATTAAGCCCCACTAGGCATCCTACGCCCTTCTCTACACTGATTTTAGTTCACTTGCTGTTCCCTTGCCGCTGGGTTGATTGGCTCCCCCCCTTCCTTTCTCCCACCTCCCCTTCTGCCATGCCCCCACTCCCAACCAGAACTATCAGTTGTTTTCATCTCCAAATTATTTATCCTGCCTATCTTATCTAGATAGACATGCAGAGACATTAATAAGCGCAAAACCCAGGCAAAGCCAAACAAAACAACAACCACAACAAAATAACAACAACAAAAAGAAAACCAATGACAAAAAAGAAGGGTAGAGGGAGAGTGGGTTGGAAAGAGGGAATTGATTACAAGGAACTATATGTGACCTCCTCCCTGAGGGATGGACAACAGAAAAGTGGGTGAAGGGAAACATCAGACAGGGCAAGATATATATCCGAAAAAGAAATTTTTAGCACTTCAGTAAAGAAAACAAGTCATCCCTTGCTGTGGATAAAATAGCAATGTAAAATGAAGGTCATATGAACCAAAATAACACTACTAACCTTGATATGACTGTTGCCTGTCTACTGGCTCTAGCTTGATTAAAAAGTGATGGTTAGGGAAGTTAATGAGGCATTAAGGATATATTTATAACTAAAACCAAGCTTTGTTTGTGACAGAGTCAAATGTAATGGAAAAGAATTGATAAAAGAAATAACTTCCTCACTGTCCTTCAAGGTTAAGACAGGGGTAGAAAAATCAATAAGAATTTTTTTCAAATCAATAACATTTTCATCATAGTCAGTTCTAACCTGGTAATGTCTTCTAACCAATACAACTAGAATACTCATGTCATGATTCCCAGTACTCTGCTTGAGGTAACTGGTTGACATTGAGTAGATTCCAACTCACGCCAATCCCATGTGCATCAGAGTGAACTATGCACCATTAGGTTTTCATTAGCTGCTTTTCTTAAAAAGTAGGTCACTGGGCTCTCGTCCAATACACTTCCAGGTGGACTAAACCTCCACACCTTCACTGGGCAGCCAAACAACATGCTGGTGGTTTGAACCACCTAAGGACTCAATCAGTGGATAAACTTGTGACGAGTGCATTTATTTGATTTTGCTTACTTTATTCTTGGGACTATACACAGCAATATACCAAATCAATAGTATCTACTTGCACCATTTATTAACAATGATTACATTCCACAAGTTTTCCAACCATTCTCACTTCTCTTTCTGCATTGTTTCTCCTCCATTCACATAAATTCACTTCCCCAGAAAGTTCATATCTCATCCTTCAGTTGCTATCGTCATTTTAATCTAATATAGATGGTTGTTAAGAAAGCACAATGCTCGAGGTAGACCTTGTTCACGAGCTAAGTTAGACTGTTGTTTGGTTATAAGAAGACTAAGGCAATAATTTTGGTTAAAGTTGCAAGATTCTCTTAGGGCAATAGTTCCAGAGGTTCATCAGCGTTTATGGAACAAGGAGTCTGGAGTGCATGAAATGTTAAAACTCTGTTCTGTGCATCTCCCTTTTGATCAGGATTCTTCTATTGAGTCTTTGGTCAAAACGTTCAGTAATGGTAGTTGGGCGGACACCATCCAGCTCTGCCCTCGTGGCAAGAGGCAGTTGTTCATGGAGACAATCTGCCATACACAGTCTATTTCCTCCTCCTCTTGCTGATTCTCCTTCATCCTCTGTTGCTGTCAGCTAATTGCTGTGCCTTGGGTGGTCACTTGCAGGCTTCTAAGACCTTAAGCATTATTTAATGAACTAGGTGATAGAACAGAAGCACTAAACAATCTATGTATTTTTTACTAAAGAGGCCACAGTTCATGTAATAATGATCCTGCCTGCCAAGTGGATAACCTTGTTTTCAATTACTCATCTCTAAAAGAACGTGTGTAATACCTAATCTGCCACGTCGGAATGTTCTTAGGAACAAATGAGAATGAAATGACCTGGCATAAATAGAAAGCCCTATCCATAGTGTGTGGTTATTATTTCCCTCAAGTTGGTTTCCTTCATTATCTGACACCATTCTGCCCCAATCCCGACCTTTCTGAGCTGTTCCCATTCCCCTTTGTAGAAAGTCTTTATTATCTGGGTTCCAAGTTAATATTCCTTTCACGCTATTTGAAATATTGCAAAGAAATGTAAAAACTGAAGAATGGTAGGTAATCTCTAGAGTGAACGAGTTTTATAATCCTTTAACTAAAGGATAAAGTGAGATCTTAACATATGCTTCCAATGCTGCTTACTAAAACTCTATTTATTTTAGGAAATCTGTGAATCCATCCTCAACTGTGCACTGGAAGAAGTAAAGCAATTTCATGGACCACAGAAGCCAGACCACAAGTGCTTTGGCTTCCGCCTGCCTTTTGAAACGCCAGCCACTGCCTCAGTCCCTGTCACTCCAGAAATTGGACTGGTTGTTGATGGGAAGACACTGAATATCATATTCCAGGGAAAGCTGGAAAAGAAATTTCTGGAGTTGACCCAGTATTGCCGATCTGTCCTGTGTTGTCGCTCCACTCCACTCCAGAAGAGTATGATAGTCAAGCTGGTGCGAGATAAGTTGCGCGTCATGACCCTTTCCATAGGTAATCTTCATACTGAGATGTGGGTGGCAACTTGGCAGAAGCCTGGACCAGAGGTGGGACTCCAGGTCCAAGTCCAGATGCTTAGGCTGAGGGTCATTGTGAGAGAGAGTTCAAAGTAGCAATCAAGGTGTGGCAGCTGGGAGATGAAATAGATGCTAACTAAAGTTGAAGAGTGAATTAAAGATCTAGAGAAGGAAAAGCTTAGATGGCAGGGGGAGTCCCAGGGGGTGTGCCAAAGTCAAAAGGGGCCTTGAAATTCAGAACCTTGAGGTAGCTCAAGAAATGTTACCAACAACAACATATACTCAATTCACCCAACTCTGGAATGTAGACCACTTCACACTCAATATTTAACACATGACCTAGTAATATGAACCTCAGTTCAGTTACTCATTTTTGCCTCTTGAGTCACCAAACCTAGAGTATTTATAAGCTGGCCCTTTACCTTTACAAAGAAAGTGTGCTGACCTGTGATTTAAATCTCATTTGTTACTTTGGTATTCTGCTGAATGCGGGAGTGGCTGGTGGGGGGACTTTCAGTGCTACCTTATTGTTTTGGTATGCTTGTTCTCAAACGCAAGTCTTAGCCAAACGTATCTTCTCAATAAAAGCTGCCTGGTTGATTGATGGCACACTGGTTGAGCACTCTGCTGCCAACCAAAAGGTCAGCCGTGTGAACCTGCCAGCTGCTCTGGGGGGAAGATGTGGCGGTCTTCTTCCATGAAGTAAACCATGGAAAGCCTCGGGGACGTTGTCCCTTGTGATGGATCAACATCACAATTGACTCAGTAGCAAAGAGTTCCATTTGGTTTAGTTGGTGATGAAGATTTGCTCAGTATGGACCCAATTTAGAGTATGGTTGAGGAAGAACAGAACTGTACTTACTTAAAATGTTCCAGAAATTCCAAAAAAGTGTGTACTGGGATCTGCATGATCTGTTTTCCATGAAGTCTCCACCCACTTCTCCCACCATGGCCACCTTCCTACTCCAACTTTCAGCACCCTACATTCCAGCAAAGCGGAACTACTCACCCTACCCGATGGGCCATATCTACTCGGCACAAGCCACTCCTGAAAAATACTCCTCACATTACTACCTATCCTTCATTTCTTCTGAGAGCTATCTCAGTGCCCAGCATTCATAGTTGCCAAGCATTAGACCTTACTATGATGCCCACTCAGTATACTTCAAGTTCATTGAAGATAAGGACCATGTGAGTTTTTTTTACCACATCTTCACATGACCAGCATATACCAAGTACATAGTAAGGGCCGCATTCACAAAGGCAGATCTTCGACATTTTGCCAGGTTCTCTTCCTCCTAGGCAGATAAAGGAAAGAGACCTCCTTTCCTGGTCTATTCAAAATTATATTGTTTGTTTCTTTTCCCTAGACATTCAGATGAAAGCAGTTCAGAACAGTACAAAGAGGGCCAGCAGGAATGTAGAAAGCAGACATTTCACAACTGTATCCTACTTCTTCCCTGAAGTGCCCTCTTCAGAAATTCAGACACACACACGCAAGGCCATAGCCCAGGCTGATTCCCTGAGGTAGGAGATTGGCTTCACTCTCATAGCAACAGAAGAAAACCCAGCAGGGCGAGAAATAGCATGATCCTCACCTCTATTTTCCCTGGCTCACAAACAGAAGAGGTTAAAAGTTGGATTTGTTCTACCATGAAGATTAGAAGGATGCTATCAACAAAAATTACTATAAATAGAATAAAGTCTTCCATACAGACAAGACTTTAAGATCGATACATTTCCTCAAAACTAAGGAGGATAAAGCATTCTCTACCCTGATTCTTATTCTCGATGATGATGATTACTATAAATTTAATTGCGGCTTATTAGAAGAGGAACTGGATGAGCAAGAGGGTGAATGACAGCATTACAGTCTAGAACAGGAGTCAACAAATGATGGCCTCCAGGCTGACTCCAGTTCTCCAGGTGTACAGGAGAATGTTTTGTGTTTGTTTGTATATTTTTAATATAAAATATGTAAAGTACTACCTATCTGTCAGCGAGAACAATCACTCAATTTTGCTTCTTGGACCACAAAACCTAAATGCTTTATTATCTAACCCTTTACAGAAAATGTCCATCCACCTCTGGCCTAGAAGATACAGAACTGAGGAAAGAAGCAGGGGTAGACTTGAGCATATTGATTGTATAGAGCTGGGCAAACCAACAGGGTTGCTGCTCTGTTGTTCACATTTAAATTCATTTCCTCAGTTGTACTTGCCACATTTTAATAACCACAAGAATTTCCATTTTGACCTGCAAACAAAACATTTCCACCAGTGCAGAGATCGATCTGATACTGTTGATATAGAGGGAGGGAAGGAAGGTGTGTGTGTGTGTGTGTGTGTGTGTGTGTGTGTGTGTGAATGTCCTTACCATCAATTTCCGGGAACAGCTCAGTTTTTTAATGGAAACTCAATGGGATTAAATGTCCCTGAACCAAAAAGATTACTCAAGTACATATTCCTATATTCAGAAAGAAAACTGACCATTGCCCTCTCCTTGCATTGCAATGACAACCTCTGGCGATACATCAGTCCAAATATTCCAGATGTCTTGACAGGATCACTATTCATTTAATAGTGAATAAGGGAGAATACTTATAGTCTCCATAGAATCAGAAATATCTGAGTTCTAGTGTTGTGGGTTCCTTCAATAGCTGGATTTCTTCTCTCAGGTTCATAAATCGTTCGATTTTCATCAACAAAATCCATTGCAACATTTGTGAGGGCATTTTTTGTAAACTGGAAAGCACTGCCTAAACCTCTTTTGTTAATTATTGTCTCCCCAATATCTGACATTATGCTGACAAAAAAGACAGTATTTGTTAAATAGTGAAGTAAAGGTGGGATTTCTTATCCAAAGAGGAGAAGATATCGCTTATGCCAAATACTGCAGCCAGGATATTTTTCCTATAAGACTACTTGGAACAATGTTGAAAGGATTCAATCTTTTACAAGTGAAAGTCCATTAGAACCAACGAGTATGTCCCCACTCTGTCACTGAGCCATTGGAATAAGAATAAACACGACTCATGACATCGTGCTTTCAGGTGATGGAGCAAATGATGTGAGCATGATTCAAGCTGCTGATATTGGAATTGGGATCTCAGGACAAGAAGGCATGCAGGTACTGTCCTTTCCCTTTTCTTGTTTCTTATTTTCTTCTTTCCCTCCTTGGTGTGAGGGTTCTGGTGACTCAGTGGCAGAATTCTCTTCTTCCCTGTGAGTGATGCAGGGTCAATTTCTGACCAATGCAACACGTGTGTGACTACCACGCATCTGTCATAGGGAACTTCTGTGCTGCCATGATGCTGAGCAGATTTCAACAGAGCTTCCAGGCAATCTACTCCTGAAAGTCAGTCAATGAGAACCCCGTGGGTCACACCGGTGCCGTCTACAACAGGTCTTGGGAGCAGTACAGCACCAGACAGTGTTTCATGCCATTACGCAGGGGGTCTCCATGAGTGGGCAACTCCCAGCAACAACACTTTGTAACAGTTTTATTGGCACTTCATCTACATATACAATTCAATAGTTAATATTACCAAGAAGAGTTGTACAACCTTTACCATGATCCATCTTAGAACATTTTCTTCTTCCTTGTACTCATTAGTGCAATTGTTTTTTTAATTGTGGCAAAACTATACACAACAAAACACTCTCCAATTCAACAACTCCTACATATGTAGCTCAATGCCATTGATTATACTCTTCATGTTGTGCAGCCATTGTTGACGTCCTTTCTCAAATTATTCCACCACCATTTACATAAATGCAGCACCACCTAAGCAAAGGCTCTTCCACCTTCACCCATGGTAACCACTGGTCAAATTTGGTTGTTGGATTTTTTTTTTTTAGTAGTTTTATTGATATAAAATTCACATATACTTCCAAACTTAAGTCGCTTTTAGAGAGTTGCATATATATCCAGTCTATTCCAGTGCTCCCTCCTCCTTCCCACATTCACTGCTTGCTCCCTAATTCCCCTCAACCTCTCCACCCACCCCACCTGCTATCACTGATAAACCATTGCATCTTTGATTGTCTCTACACATTCACTCCTTTTGTGCCTCATACACTGGAAAACCTAGCAGAAACAATGAAAACAAAAATGAAATGAGAAGAAAACAAAAATAGAGAGAAGCAAAGAGAAAATAATAATATAAAGATAAAAATAAATGAGTAAGAAAGAAAAGACCATAAGCAATACTGAAAAATCCAGAGAAGAAATTTATTTTCATGGAATAAGCAAGAAATATTGAAGCTTAGAACAAATTCAGGTTAGGTCAAGAGGTAGGTAAACTGACAAGGCATCATATAATAGCATAGTTCAGTTAGCCATATTCAAGTTTACAATAATCTCTGTCTGACAGTAAAACTGTTTGAGTCCCTAGCCAGTGGCCAAAGTGTATGTGCCAGAGGCTTAATCTAACCATATACTCTGCAGGTAGGTTTTGGGCTCCCACTGTCCTCCATAGCCCTCTATAAATTGGGTGGTCACAGTTTAAGCTCTGATACTTTTCCCTTCACCATATTCGGATTTTGTTATCATCATCTTTGGATCACACAGGCTGGTGTGCTTCTTCAATGTGGACTTAGTTGACACCTCACTTAGATGGCTGCTTGTTTAAACAAAGCGTTTAAGACCTTAGACACTATTCCAATTGATAGGAGGGTATTATCTGCTTTATTCACCATACTTCGCTGTGGACCCTTATCTTCAGTGATCTCTTCATGAAGGTGAGTATCCAGGGCTATGTTACAAGAAATATCTGTTCATGGGTTGGAGCTAGAATTAAGTGGAAGCCCAGAATCCCATTGCTTGTCCAAAGATTATAAATGACTCTGGTTTACTTTGGCGGTCATGTTATGACAAAAACAAAAAAATGCCAAAAGAAAAAAAATGGCCAATCATCCTCCTGAGGTATAAGGCGATTGCATTGATAACATCAATAAATTATCCAATGGCATATATTTAAGATACTGTTGATATGAGGAGTTTATGCAAGTGTAGTCCAACTACAAGTTGCAATCCATGAGTTGTTGCTTTGTACAGATTGATTTTTTTTTAATCATTTTATGGAGGGCTCTTACAGCTCTTATCAGACTGATTTCTTTATTATAATTTAAATCACTTTATTGGGGGATCGTATACCTCTTATCACAATTCATATATACATCCATTGCATCAAGCACATTTGTACATTTGTTGCCCCCATCATTCTCAAAACATTTGCTTTTCACTTGCGCCCTTGGAATCAGCTCCTCATTTTTCCCCTCCTTGCCCGCTCCCTTTCCCTCATGAACCCTTGATAATTAATAAATTATTATTATTTTATCATATCTTACACTGCCTGACATCTGCCTTCACCCACTTTACTGTTGTCCATCCCCAGGTAGGAGGTTATATGTAGATCCTTGTAATTGGTTCCCCCTTTCCACTCCACCTTCCCTCCACCCTCCTGGTATCACCACTCTCACCACGGGTCCTGAGGGGTTCATCTGTCCTGGATTCCCTGTGTTCCCAGTTCCAATCTGCACCAGTGTATATACTCTGGTCTAACCAGGTTTGTAAGGTAGAATTGGGATCATGATAGTGGGGGAGGAGGGGCATTTAAGAACTAGAGGAAAGTTGTGTGTTTCATCGTTGCTACACTGCACCCTGA